GAGGGAGGAGGAAAGATGAGGATGAGGAACAAAAAAAAAAAAAAAATGCCGATGAGGAAGATGCCCCTATGAGGGGGAGGAGGAACCGTGAGGATGAAGAGGAGCAGGAGGAAGAAGAAAAGGACGCTGAGGGGGGAACCACCCCTCCTCCCCCTCACTGCGCCGTTTGGGGGTGCTGGGGGGTGGGGGTGGGGGGCAAGCAAATGTATATACTGTATATACATGCGCACGTGTTCTTACATATATGTTTATGCACACCGATACGTACATACAAACCTATGTGTATATGTAGATACATACATACATACAGGCGTGTGAACATGTGCTTCTACACATATGTGTATATGAGTATATATATACACATACATACATACATACTTACATACATGTGTATATATGTATGTGTGCGATCCCAGCAAGGAACCCCACTTATTTCGCACACCTCATCCTGGGCGGATGTAAGCTTGAATGCTTTGCGTCGGCGGCCGTTGGTCGTACATCAAACGCAATGCTGCAGACTCTAATGTTTCCCAGTGTCCAAATTCTCTGAAGCCGAACCTTCGCTGATGCGGCATAAAGGAAATTCTGTAACATTATTTGTTCTACTGTGCCCAATTATGTGGCGCCAAACCCTCGTCGATGCGGCAAAAGGGATATGTTGTTATATCTCAATTCCCGAAATTTCAAATTCTTTGGCGCCAAATCGCGTGCAGCATCGACGAGGCTTCCGCGCCAAAAGATTGCAAACACGAGAAAACTGAATTGTACACCATTTTCCGTTTGCTGCAGCGATACGGGCCGACTTGCGGTGCATATTCAAGAGGAGGACCAGGCGAGGAGGAGGATGAGGAGGAGGAGGAGGAACAGGAGGAGGAGGAGGTTATGGACACGGCGGGAAAGGCAATGCTGATGAGGAGGAGGAGGAGGCGATGCGGGCCGAGTTTCGGTGAGGATGCAGGAGGGGGACCATGAGGAGGCGGGGGAGGATGATGAGGAAGATGAGGAGGTGGAGGAGAAGGAGAAGGACGAGGAGGAAGTTCAGGAAATGGCGGCCAAGACGCGACCCTGCGTCCGTGCGATCCCTCTGGGTCGTGTTTCGGCACGCATCCACTGGGACGCACATGTCTTTGGAACGTGTTTCGGCTCGCACTCATTGGGACGCACACCTGCGAATCCTCTGGGTCGTGTTTCGGCGCATATCCACTGGGACGCGCACGGGTGATTCCTCTGGGTCATGCTCCGGCGCGCATCCACTGGCATGCACACCAGCGATTCCTCTGGGTCGTGCTTCGGGGCGTATCCACTTGGCCGCACACGTGCGATTCCTCTGGGCTCTGGGTTGTGTTTCGGTGCGCGTCCACTGGAACGCACACGCGCGGTTCGTTTGGGTCGCGGGAGAGAGGCGGAAGACGAGGAGGAGGAGCTGCGAAACGTATTCCATCGATTCCTTCTGTTATTGAAATCAGATTCAAGGCCGTGTGTTTGAATTGCGGGGTTTGGCTTTCCATTTCCTATTTCTCCTCGAGGCTCTCTTCCTTTGGGCGCTCTCCCAAACCGCCTCCTTCCGATCCTCATCGCCCTCGCCGGGGCTGCCTCCTGCGGTCTTTCTCTGTGTTGTGTATACTACGGCCCTATGGACGTCCCAGTGGGTACGTACCGAAATGCGACCCAGAGGAATCGCACGTGTGCGTCCCAGCGGGTGCGTGCCGAAGCACAAGCCAGAAGGATCGCACGTGTGCAGCATCGTTTTCTCCTCCTCACCGTCTTGTCCGCCATTTCCTCAACCTCCTCCTCCTCCTCCTCATCCTCCTCGTCCTCATCCTCCTCCCCCTCCTCCTCCTGGTACCCCTCCTGCATCCTCACCGCAACTCATCCCGCATCGCTGCGGCAAAGGGAAACTGGTGTACAATATATTATTGGTATATTTCCCCATCCTCTGGCGCCGAAGCCCTGGGATGCTGCATGCGGTTCGGCGTCAAAGACAGGGAAACATGTGAAATTCAGATGTTACAGTATTTCCCCTTTGCCGCATCGACGAGGGTTTGGCTTCACAGAAATGGAACAATTAGGGAAATGTATTCCACTGAATTTCGACACTGCCGCATCAACGAAATTTCGGCTCCAAAGAATTTGACAACTCTGCAAAGCTTGATTTTACCGCATGCCCCCTCTGCCGCATCAGCAAGGGTTCGGCGACAGAGAATTGCCATGCTTTTCGTAAATGGTGCTCGCGGGCAACACCAATCAGCACTACAGCTACAGAGAAATCCGCTCCGCTTCTACGTTCGATTTACGGCATCCACCGGCCGCCGACGCAATCCATTCAAGCTTACATCGCGGCGAGAGCTCACCGCTTGTACAATGCGGAGACTATGGAAAACCCATGACTGGAACAAGGAGGGAGGGTCCTTGGGGTGGGTGCCTATACACACATATATATATATATATGTATATATAACACTGGTGATACAGGAGAAAAAGTCTCAATCTGAATATGGTTAGGGCTATAGGGCTGAAGAGCTATAGGGCTATAAGACTCTGGGTTATGGGGCTATCGGGCTATCGGGCTATAGGGCTATAGGGCTATCCGGCTGACGGGCGATAGAGCAATAGGGCTATCGGGCTATAGGGCTGTCGGGCTATAGGGCTATGTGGGCTCTAGGGCTATAGGGTTATAGGGCTATTGGGCTATAGGGCTATAAGGCTATAAGACTAAAGGGCTATAGGGCTACACAACTACCAGGCACCCGGGCACCTGGGCACCCGGGCGTGCCGCCGCAATCGGCGCCAAACCTCACCTTACCATATGAGTCCGCTAGGACCCCTACAGAGGCAAGCTCTGATTGGGGAATGTGCACGTGTATGTTTCCTCGCCAAGAAATCACAAAACAAGTGCCACAACAACATCGCGAATCAATAGGTCGCTAAGCAAACTGGCAACGTTGCATAAGCGGGCCTGCAAAGGGAAAGCGATACCAGAGCACACAGGCATGGACATACACAAATCTACACATATGCAAAAATACATACTTACCCAAGGCCTCACTGTCCCGACTCCTCGGCCGCGACCCTATGGATGCAGGGCATCATTGCACGGATGTCTCGCGCACGGGGTCGCGCATCCTGCGTGTCGCTTGATGGGGGGGCGACAAATGGGTGGGTTGGGGAAAGGTGCAGTTGTCGGGCCCTAAAGGCCCCCACTGGGACCCTGGAGGGCCTCTTCGGAAGCTCTATGAAAAAGGGCCCCTCTTCTGCAGCCCTCGCTGCCCCCCATCCCACCTCCGATTTCATCGTCCCCCCGTCACACTGCAAGGCTTCCCCCGGGGCCGTAGGCGACCCGAGGAGGAGGAGGAGGAGGAGGAGGCGGAGGAGGAGGAGGAGGAGGAGGAGGAGGAGGAGGGAGGAGGAGGAGGGAGGAGGAGGAGGGAGGAGGAGAGGGAGGAGGAGGAGGAGGAGGAGGAGCCCAGCGTAAAAGAAACATCCTGTCTTGACTGATTAATCTACACAGAACCGCCGCCCACGCCGTGAGCCGAACCGAAACCACGGAAGGCGACAGCCAAAGCGAATGGCAGAAATGCCCCAGGGACGCGGCCCAGGGAGCGCACGACAGGGAAGCCCCACCACAGCACAAGGAAGAGAAACGCCGAGGAGCCCATGATGGTGATCACAAACTGGCTCCAATCGAAATACAACCCGACGCCGTGCTCCAGCGACCCTGTCGGCGTGTGTGAGGGGCTTGTCCGTTCGACTCGTCATCTCCGTCATTCGTTAGTCGTCGTCTCTGTCGTCTCCTTTCCCCTGCGCCCCCCCTTTCCCTGGGCCCGTCGCCGCTCCCCTCTCCTTCCCCAGCGCCTCCTCCTCAAGCGCGCCAGCCAAACCGAACTTGAGCAACGTCGTAATTGAGTCGAAGGGAAGCCCCTTCCCTTTGATCCCTCCCCCGCCGGGAGGGGGGGGGGGGTCCCGGGGGGGGGTCCCGGGGGGGTCCCGGGGGGGGGTCCCGGGGGGGGGCGCGCGTCAGATACGACGCCCCCTCCCCGGGGATCCCGGGGCCCAGAAAAGCCCGTCGCCGCTCCCCTCTCCTTCCCCAGCGCCTCCTCCTCAAGCGCGCCAGCCAAACCGAACTTGAGCAACGTCGTAATTGAGTCGAAGGGAAGCCCCTTCCCTTTGATCCCTCCCCCGCCGGGAGGGGGGGGGGGGGTCCCGGGGGGGGGTCCCGGGGGGGTCCCGGGGGGGGGTCCCGGGGGGGGGCGCGCGTCAGATACGACGCCCCCTCCCCGGGGATCCCGGGGCCCAGAAAAGCTCCAAGACGGGCCAAGAGTGCCCCAAGAGGCCTCCAAGACGGTCCAAAAGGGCCCCGAATCGCCGAACGACTTGTCCAAGACGCCTTGACGGACTCCAGACGACCCAAGAGCCCTGCAAGACGCTCCAAGAGGCCTACCAGGAGCACTCTCAAGACGGCCCCAAGAAGCTAAATTAATTGATTTCCTATTGTTTTTTGAATGATTTTGGCGTTCTCGACTCTTCCCCTTCCCGACGCTCCAAGACACGCCAAGAGGCCCCCAAGATCGCCCTAAGACGGCCCAAGAGGCCTCCAAGAGGGTCCCAAAACGGCCCAAGAAAGCGCAAAGACGGCCCAAGACGTCTCCAAGACGGTCCTAGAGGCGCCCAAGACGGCTCCAAGAGGGTGCCCAGATGCGGGACCCGACCTGACATGTCGAGCTCTCAGCCCTGAGAGGCTCCCAGGAGGCCCCAAGAGGCTCCAGGAGGCCCCCACGAGGCCCCAAGGAGGCCCCCAGGAAGCTCCAAGAGGCCCCCAAGCGACTCCCAACAGGCCCCCAAACTGCTCCCCAGAGACCCGAAAGAGCGCTCCAAAGAGACCCCACGAAGCATCCCAGGAATCTCACCCACGTCAGCGTCGTCGTCGTCGTCGTCGTCGCCGCCGCCGTCGTCGTGTGACAGCACACCCGACGACGACGATGACGACGACGACGACGACCACAGCGCACTGAGCCAGCCCGCGCCGCCCCGCCGGTGGGCCGAGCCGCGCCCGCCGCCCCCATGAAGGCGGCACGGGCGCCCCTGGCCGCAACCTCACGCCTCGTGAGGCCTCCAGGGTCGGCGGCACCGGCCGTAAGGCCTTCGCAATACAACCCGACGCCGTGCTCCAGCGCCACAAAATGCGAGGAAGCAGCAGAGCGAGGGAGTAGACGGGGCAGCACACGACGTGACCACCGTCAAGTCGATCAATTCGTCTCCTCCTCGAGCAGGCAGGCGCAAGTCAGCCTGGAGAACGTGTGAGATCTGCGACCACCACAGACGCCACACCATTCGTCGTCATCAAGGAGCGAGCCCGAAGAGGACGAAGAAGAAACGGCAGCAGGCACGAGACCGCCGACGCGGACACGATCACGGCCAGAAACAGCACGAACCGCCGACCGAGCCAGCCCGGCACGCACGGCAATACAAATGATGTCAGACTCCGTGAGCTGCTTGAAGGTCGAGCCGACCGCATTCGAAATCAGACCCGTATTCTGAGAAACGACAGAGCCCACCAGGGCGGCCAGTTCATGAAGGGCCTGCTCGTGGGCAGCGACCTGAACCTTCAGGTCCGAAGTCAAAGAAAGGGAACTCCTGAAATCCTGCACCAGCGCGGCGGAGTCCCGCAGCGCCGACACATCTGCGGAGAAGCCATGAAACACCGCGTGGGACTCGATCAGAATCTGCTCGCGCGTGGACGACAAGAAATCGTTCACCTGGGAGCAATGCGAGCCCACGAGAAGCTGACCGTCATCCCATAGACGATCGAGGGGCCGCCGAACCCACCGTTTGACCGTGGCCGCCGAGGGGTCAACCACAACCGCCTTGAGCTTGGAGGTCTCCGCGGCAAGCACGCTGCGGCATTCCGCAACACCCGATTGGACGAAGGACTCGATGTGGTCTCTGTGCAGGCGAATGGCTGCCTCCACCCGGGCATGATCGGAACGAAGCGCATCAGTAACAGACACAGCTGTGGCCTCGAACCGCGCAAGATCTGGGATACGGCTGAAACGGCAATCAATCTTGGCAACAACCAAACGTTGAGAGCCCACGACCTCCTCACGGAGCGCCTGGATTATAGAATCCAAGAGCTGGAAGGCCTCCACGGACTGCTCCTCAAGGTCGTGCAAAGCCTTGTCCGAGCCCTCGCGTAATTGGGCCAGAGAGCCAATCGGAACAACAGTAGATATCATATCTTCTAGCCCCCGCATCCACTGAAACTGCTTCTCGGACGTCTGCTCAATGGCGGCGAGCCACAGCTGTGTCTCGTGAGAGATGCGGCGGCAATAATAAATCTGCTGAGCGGCTGAACCAAGAGCACCCGCATCATAACAGTTGAAAAGAAACAAGTCGTCGCCACATACACTGGGAACATACGGAGGTAAAGTAAACGCGGGAGAGCTGCAGAAAGACCATGGCGTGTCGCCCTCTAGCCCGTCGGCCCAGCACACACCGTGGTCACAGAGGCCCTCAGAAGGTTCATGCGCCCAAAGCGTGGGAACGCAACCCACCTCCGAAGGGGTAAAATACAGTAGCATATCGCCGAAGCCGTGTCTGACCATGCCGCCACCTCCGAGCGAGAATCCTTCCACAAGGCTGAACAGGTGCGTCTGCAGACGGGACTGACGAAGCAACAAAAGACAACTGGTCATCACGAGCACGGGGGGCACCACTCTGGGCGGCGGCGTGCATTGCGATCCTACTCACATTGTGTTTGGCCCTGCCAGCAGACTTGTGGACGCGCTGCGACATGGCAAACTCAGCTGCAGACAGCTGCTCCCGAGCTGCCAATGAAGCCAGGCGAGCATGATGGTGCGGAACAGGATTCAACTCGTCATGCCGAACATGCATTTCCATAGAACGCAAAACATCTTGGGCTGGCTGTCGAATACGAGAGTCAACTTCGATAGTGCAGCGACCTGAAGGCGAGCGCGAAGGCGTCGGTCACGGAGCCGTCCTGCCGAATGTTTATGAACCATCACTCGAGGCGATGCCGCAACTCAGAAACGTTGCGAGCCGTCCCAAGCCTGGATGAGCCAAGATGGTGGGGCGCGCGACGCGGCTTGAGCCAAAATGGCTACGGAGGAGGAGGAGGAGGAGGAGGGGTCGCCTAAGCCCTTCGGAGAAACCCTCCAATGGCCCCCCCGTCACGCGACGCCCGGGTATCCGTGCGATCGCGCCCCAGGGGGGGCCCAGAGCGCGAGGGCGTGGACCCCTGTCTCCGCGGCCAGAGGCGGCGCGGACGGCTCCAGGATTAGACGGGAGTGCAGAGAGTACAAAGGGCAATACCGAGAGATCTCATGACGAGACCAAGGCTGTGGACGAGAGTCCAGAAAAGCAGCACACCCACTTTTGGTAGGAGAATCTCTCGAGCTCTCCGCCACCTCTGGCGGTGTGCGTTGCGAGCAGGAGCTCAGCAGAACCACAGGAGAGCGCGGCATTGACAGTGTAGCTCCGCACACGTGACAAATGTTAACGAGCTGGAGCACAGCTAAGCCCCAGGTGGAGAGGCCACGGGAGGCTCTAGGAGCATGGAACGCGAGGCTAACGACGAGAGGGGCGACTTCAACAAGGAACGCCATCCCGAGTGTGTGAGGATGGATCTGGACAAGCCAGACGACGCCAAGGAAAGCAGGGAGGAGGAGGATGAGGAGGAGGAGGAGGATCCACTGTAGCAGCACGGGCGAGCACAACAATTAGTAAGAGGAGCAGATTGGGGACGACGAGGAAGGCAGAATGAGCATGGCTACTGACGGGGTGATGCTGAGCAGGAGCACGAAACGACGGACGGCTCAAGCTAATAACCTAGCAATGCAAGGGGAGGGAGCTGGACGATGGCAGCACGAGAGGCACGGGAGGAGAGATGGAGGAGCCAGGATCAGACAGCAGAAGGGGAGCAGGAGGACGGCACTGACGAGGATAACGAGACGCACATCTGATACAAACAGCCAAGAACACAAAACGGCAAATGGATGAGGAACGACCGGGGAGTCAGGAAGCAGGATGGGGTGGGAGAGATGAAGTGGTGTCGCTTGCGAATGGGCATGGGAAAGCAGCACGGCCCCACCAATTGGTCTCTACCCCGCGAGGGGCGTTACAGCATATGGATTCAATCGCGACGTCGGAGATCTCGGGCCACGGCCTGGATCATCAATCTGGGTCGGGTTCGCCAGAGCCCGAAACAAAGCCTCTGGATGTCGGGAACCCAGAAATGCCTTTGCGATTTCTTTTCGCGACGCGGAAGTCCGGGCTGCAACCCATCCCAAAGGCCGTCCAACAGGTGGGCGTCCAAGAGCCAGATCCGCGAATAATTGCCCGAGGCGCTCGAGCGGACCAGGGTGGGACCAGGGGGCGCTTTGAAAGAAGAAGAGGGGGCCATAAAAACCACGGAGATACCATTGCCTGGCCATGGTGTCCCCCCGTAGTCATCACCCCCCTCTTGGCCGCCCCGGACCAATCGGCATCCCCCCTCCCAGAGTCCAACCCAGGATTCCCACTCGATCCTCGAGATTCCCGGGTCCTCTGACGCACTTTTCCTTTAGGCTCCTGCGAGTTTGCTTGCATGGAGGGGGGTGCGTGGCGAGGTCCCGAAAGGAAACCTGGACCTCACTCAAGTCGGGGCTCACTCGCACGCCTCTTCGACCCAGCGCCGCTGGACAGGGCGGCGGAGGGGGGGACGGGGGACGGGGGGAACATTGAAGGGGTCCTGGGACACGCAAATAAATTGACACAAATAATCAGATTTCCGGTATTTTCAAATATTTTCTGGGTTTCTGTCTTCCCCCCCACTTCCCATATGTTCCGCATTTTCGGGGGAACCGACGATTAATAGTGTCTGTGTTTTTTGTCCCCTCCTGGAACATGGGGTGCGAGCCAACCTGCCCGGGTTGGGACAGAAGAGCGTTTTTTTTTGCCAGACGCTGGCAGCCTGGGGATGCGGAGGAGCTAGCCAGGCCGCTCGGCCGCCCACCTCCTCCAGCGGAACTTCGAGCGGTTCGTACAGGAGCGCCGGTCGGTGCGCCTCACCGACGACGAGGTTCTCGGGCGGAGCCAGAGGAGGAGGAGGAGGAGGAGGAGGAGGAGGAGGAGGAGGAGGAGGAGGAGGAGGAGGAGGAGGAGGAGCGCCAACCTCGGTCCCAGCGCCACGCCGGGCCGGCCAGGGCCACCCCGACCCCCGGGCGGCCCCGGAGCAGCTCCCAGGCCGGGGCCAGCCAGGGGGGATCGGCGCCGCGCGGCGCCCGCCCCGCGCCTGCCGGATGGGGACCCCAGGCGGGGCACCCGGCTGCCCCTGGTTCTGGGCGCTGGCCCCCGGGTCCCAGGCATCCGACGAGGAGAGGTTCTGGAAGGCAGTCTGTCCTTGGGCTCTGGCAAGCTCACTTGCACGTAGGGGCGCGGGGGCCAGGCGCAGCGAGGCCGGAAAGGGAATCTGGATCCTGCGCACGCCTTTCGGCCCAGCGCTGTTTCAAAAGGTGGCGGAGAGGTGAAGGGAGGGACTGCCATGCAAGTAAACTCGATTGAGTCAGCAGAACGACACCCTCTCACTGCGCAGCCCATGAAGTCCCGACCCCGTCTCCAGGGCTGCGTTTTCGTCCCGAGCCCATCTTCCCGGCCAACAACAAACGGCCAGAGACAAGAATCGAGGAGAAGAAACACCCAGATGGAACAATCTCATCGTCGGAGATCTGGGCTTAGTTACCCCGCGCGCGCCGAGCCGAGGCCATGGCAGCACGTCTGGCAGCTTGGACCTGCCCGACTGGTTGGCCGCGGCAGTGTCCCGCACGAGCGACCTGTTGATCTCGAAATCCTCGGCCTGCGCCCCTCCCCGCAGGATAACAGTATCACGGAAGGCACATATATTCTGCCCAATGAAGGCAAGCAGTTGGCTCAATGCAAGGCCTTGTCTGAACGCAAGACTTGTTTGAAGACGACGTGTTCGCTGGAGGCAAACAGTTGCTTGCCTCCATAGAGGCTTCCCAGTCGGGGTCCGAGAGGATGGGGTCGGTAGATCGCGCAGCATTGCCGATGCATCGGCAACATCAGCGATGCATTGGCGGCGTCGACGTGGAGGAAATGTGGCCCGCATCGGCGATGCATCGGCGATGCGGCGCGACCCTTCGACCCCGGCTGCTCAGACGCCACCTGGGAGGACTGGCCTAGACTTCAGTGGCCTCCCGCCTCCCGCCAGACTCGCCGTCGAGGCCCGGACTCTGCCGGAGGCTCGCCGTCGAGGGCTCAGACCCCCTCGCCCCTTGGCGGGAGGCTGTTGGCTACTCTGGGCCTCTGGGGACCCTCGCCTGGCCTCGGGGCCGCCGAACAGCTCGCGTGCTGTGGTTGCTGTCGCTGTTGCTGCTGCTGCTGCTGCTGTTGTTGCTGCTGCCATGTTCGGCCTCTGGGGGCCCTCGCTCAGCTTAGACACTTCGCCCTGGGACCGTCAAGAAACTGCTCACGATGAAACGCCGGTCTCGAGGACTTGGCCGAGACCGCTGGGGGCCCACGTCAGGAGAACATCACGACGAACAGGGGCCTGGGTCGAGGAGTCTGACCGTCTGGCACTCTCTCTGGGGCCTCGTGGGGCGACCTCGTGGCCACGGCTGAGTCCGTCTCGAGCTCCAGGTCGCCATCAAAGGTTGGCGGCGCGCACAACGGGGTATGGGGGGGAACCCAAGGGTACCGATACCGCTACTCCCCTGAACTCTCCCGGGGTGCATTCTGACGAGACTTTCGAAGCGAATCCAGCGGTGGCGACAAGGGCTCCCCAGGAGGCCCAAAAAGGGGGAACCGAGGCAAAAGTAGCGGTATCGGTACCCTTTCCTTCTCCGACCGGCCCCCCCTTTGGCCGAAGGTCGCCATCAGGGACCCGCAAGTCCAGCGGCATGTGCTGCTGCGTGCTCAAGCCACGCAGGCCGCCTCGCGGCCCCGAGTCCCATCAAGCATCGGCTCCGAAGAAACACATTGCCCCGTGGATGGGGTCGGGTCGAGCCTTTCGGGCGGGTGCTAATGGTGGCGCCGCGCAGGAGGGGGAAAGGGGAGGGGGGGAAGGCATCGTGGAGGGAGAATGCTTCTTAGAAGGCGCGGGACCTGCCTCTACAGACAAGCCCGCGCCTTCTAAGAAGCAGCCTCCCTCTAAGATGCCTTCCCCCCTCCCCCTTTCCCCCTCCTGCGCGTGGCCGAGACGGGAGGTGGCCTAAATGGGGTGTAAGGAAAAGAGCCCCGTAGGCGCCCTGTTCTTCACCCCCAACCCATTACCACCCGTCCGATGGATGGGGTCGAGTCGAGACTTTCGGGGACCTGGCAAAAATTGCATCGGTCCTCGCGCCCGTCCTCGTGAGGGTCGTCGTCGTCGTCGGCGGCGGCGGCGTCGTCGTCGTCCGTCGGTCGGGGTTCGTTCGTTCGTTCGTCGTCCGTCGTCGTGTTTCGTTCGATCGTCGTCGTCGTCGGCATCGTCATGGTTGTCGTGGTCGTGATCTTGGTCGTAGCCCTGGTCGTCGTCGAGACTCAGGTTTTCTTTTCCAAACTCTGGCCGTCTTCAGAGCTTGCGGGGACGGCCTGGAAGGCACGGTCGACTTCTCCTCAGGATTCTGGTCACGACAGGAAAGCGAAGTACTGGCAAAGGCAACGACAAGGACTCGGAAGCGGAAGATCTTCACGTTCATGCGCGCTCCCCAGATCACCTCGCGTCTTGAACCAAGACGCAACTGTTGTTGTTGTTGCTGTTGCCATGTTCGGCCTATTGGCCTCGCAGGGTCCCGGGCCTTAAAAAAATGACTCAAGAGGAAAAACGAGTCCCGGGCAACGGTCCGGAACCTCTGGGAACGGGCGCTGTCAACCAAAAGCAGAACGGAGGATGCCTGGGACGGCGAGGGCCCGGATGCGGAGGATCTCGACGCTCTTGCACGCTCCCCATGCCCCCATCGCGTCGCGAACAAAAGCACGACGGGTTACAGTCAAAAGCGGTAATAAGGACGCGCGGTAAAGACGCAAGACCCTTGGAAGCCGAACTTTGGATTTTTGGGGCGGCGGGCGACGAAAACTTCAAGGACGCAAGAGCAAGGAAGGGCAAGGACGCTAGGGTACCCTGAGCAAAATCGCGCGTCCTTGTTAGGGTTTTTGACTGTACTCAGGATGAGAAGCCGGTCTCGAGGGGTCGAGACCTCCGGGGGTCAACGCCGCGAACAAAAGCATGACGGTGGATATCTGGGACGACGAGGACTCGGATGCGGAGGATCTTGACGTTCATGCGCGCCCGAACGCAGCGACAAAAGCTTCCTCATCGAGAAGGGACGATCCTGACAGCATGGCAAACTTCAATTGGCATCTGGCATGAAAGCTAGGAAAATTCCAAAATACAAACGAGGACCACGACGACGAGGACTCGGAAGGGGGAAAACCTTGACGTTTGTGCGCCCTGTCGTCGTGGCTGGAGTTTCCCTCCAAGTGCGCCGTTCTGACAGGGCACGGCCCAGCAAGGCGCGCAAACCACGATATCTGGTTTGTCTTGGTTTGGGGTCTCCAGTTGCCTGTTGTTGATCCAAGGGCTCCAAACAGCCAACCTGTGAGAATTGGATGCTGCCTTAGAAACAACTTCCCTTACAACACTGTTCGACCCAATATGTGGCCAAGACTGAATGCCGCGCAAGAGTTGCCGCACTCGTCTCGTGGCCGCATTCTTTGTGGCGTCTTCATGAGGCAGAAACTGGTATTGTGTGCCTTTTGCGTTTCCATCCGTGCAATTGTTTTTGCGTGAATTTGCGCGGTTGCATGCATGCCCACAGCACGGCTTGGGGGTCGCGGGAGAATCGCTCGCGCGAGTCGCGCGCGCGTGTCGCGGGTGTGGGATGCGGAAGCGCGTTGCATGGAAACGCGTTGAATCTTTGGGTCGCGGGCTTAGGTGGCGGGCGCAGGGCGCGAGCGCGGGTCTCGGGCGTGCATGACGGGTTGCGGGTCATCGTCCGTGCATCGGTGTCGCCGTTCAGCCACCGAATCAACAGGATCGGGTTGGTGCTATCGCTGCCCCGATCGCCACCAGGGTTCGGTGATACTCTGAGCCCCGTGAGGCGCGCAGAGATGATTGGCGCCTAGGGTATCGTAGCACTGTGGAACATGATGAGACGCGCGGATGAGCTCGGCGTCGACATATCCGTGGCACTCGGAGACCCTCTGAGATGCACGGATGTGCTCGACGCCGTAGGCTTCGCGGCACCTTGAAATCAGTTGAAGCCGTTTCAGACCGCCGTTCGGATTCAACTGGTGTGTACATGTGTGTGTGCTTGTTTGCATCACCACGACGGGGGCGCAGCGACGATGACCAGAGGCAGCCCCAGGGGGGGAGGGGGGAGTCCAACCACCACCCCCCTTCGCGCCGGCGCCGGCGCTGGCGGCGGCCAGTAGCGCCGGCGCTGGCGCCGGCGAAGGCGGGGACGCAGCTACGCTTACCACCACTACCACCACCACCACCACCACCACCACCACTACCACCACCACCACCGCCTCAATCCAGCACCACCACCACCACCAACAGCACCATACAACCATCACCACCACCAAGACAACCACCACCACCACCACCACAACCACCACCACAACTCACCATCACCGGCACAACCACCACCACAAAAACCCACCACAACAACCACAATCTACCGCACCACGACCACCACCGCCACCACCACCACCACTACCAGCAGCACAACCCACCGCCACCACCAGAAACCACCACACCACCACCACCACCGCCACCACCACCACACCAAACGTCCACAAACCACCGCCACCACCACAACCCACCACCACCACCACCACCACCAGAATCCACCACCACACGACCACCACACGACCACAACCACCACCACCACAACTCACCATCACCACCACCACCACCACAAAAATCAACCACTACCACCACAACCACCACCACCAATCTACCACACCACCACCACCACCACAACCACAACCACTACCAGCAGCACAACCCACCACCACCACCACAAACCACCACACCACCACCACCGCCACCACCACCAGCACCACCAACACCACCAGCACCACCGCCACAACCACAACCCACCACCACCACCACCACCACCACAAACCACCACAACACCACCACCAAACCACCACCACCACAACTACAACCCACCACCACCACCGCGCCCACCACCACAAACCACCACCACACCACCACCAAACCACCACCACCACGCACCGCCACAACCACCACCACCACAACAAACCACCACACCACCACCACCACAACCACCACCACCGCCACCTCCACCAACACCACAACCCACCACCACCACCACCACCACCACCGTCGTCCTCGTCGACGCTCCCCGCCACCGCCGCCCGCCGCCGCAGGCGCTGGCGCCGGCCCAGGGATGGAAATCGTCGTCCCCGCCGCCGTCGCCAGCCGCCGCCGACGCAAGCGCCGCCCCGAGGAGAGGGGAAGCAATGGGAGGGAGCAGGGGGGGGGGTTCGAAACCCCCTCCCACCCGTCACGGGAGGGGGGGGGGGGGACGGGGACGGGGAGGGAGGGGTTTGACCCCCCCCACCATCCAGGGGGGGGGGGTCCGGTTTCCCCCCCCCCCCCCCTTCAAGAGACCACAGATCGCGCTCTTTTGGACATTTAAAAACCGATCCGAGAGAGACTCAAACTAGTTCCAGCACGGAGGGGCTGCCCCCCAAACGCGCTACATGCGGCGCATAATCTAAATCATCTGTTTGGCCCGCATCGGCTACGCATGAGTGGGTTGTGCGTGATGTGCCTGCTGGACAACATCGTTGGCCTGACATTTATGACAATGCCGCCTTGTGGTACATCCCCACTATCATTTCAAATTCTTGTACATAAAGCTATAACCTGCAGCTGGCCCCGATGCACGAGGGGACCGAAACATTCAACAACAAGACAGCTGCCCTTGAGAGGCATGAAGTCTTTTACATTGCGTATTACCCTCCTGGGAAGCCAGTGGCTCTCCACAACTGGCGGCCCGTTTCTTCCGATCCCATAGCTCCCCATGCGCCCGCAACCTCTTCCCTGGGGCCGGCTCTTCGTCCAGGATCGCTTCCTGCCTCCCGTGGCCTGGGTCGCGATTCTTGAGGCAAAACGTCGGCCACTCCCGTGGAGGTCTGGGTGTCCGGCCGCAAATTGAACGCTCCAGGATAACTCCGGTTCAAGGTATTTCCAGTTCAGGCACGCGAAGCACGAACCAGCAGTTGCCCCCGACCACTCCCAACCCCGATGCTTCGGGAGGGGCAACTCGGGTTTGGGCTCCCGCAGCACGAGTCGGGACCTACCCCTAACCCCCCCCCAGCCCTGATGAGCCGGGCTCTGATCCTACTCGCTCCCTGGACCTTTCCTGTTGCGCGCTTCGAGCATGGTTTCGAGGCGGATCCAGCCGCGGCGACGGAGAGACGCACCGAAAACCAACAGAGCATAACAAATATCGATTCTCGAGCCTTCCTCCCTCCTCCCTCCCTGCCTGCTTCCAATGAAACTCCACCCTCGACGTCAGCTGGGGCCGGAGTGGCATGTGCGTCGTGGAGCGCACCGGCATGTACTCGGTGAAGACCTGCGGGCCATCGCCACGAGGGGTGAGGGCGGGAGAGGGAGTCGTTGCCCGCCGCCGCCACCACTCCTCGTCCTACTCCTTGTCGTCGTCGTCCTCCTCCTCCTCACCCTGCTGCGCTCGCCTCTGTCGCTATCCAAAGAAGTTTGCCCGAGGCTACAGGGGCGGTGAACAAGAAATGCGGGCCCAAATATCAGGCTCAGAAACTTGATTCTCCGATTACCGGTGCTGTCACTCGTGCTGCAGCCATCCGTACTACACCTACCACGCCATCAGGGAGGAGTAGCAGGGATGAGATGAATGAGAAGGAGGGGGGTGAGGATCCGCGAATCTCCCGTCCCGTTCTCCTCTTGCTCCCCTGTCCCCCTCCCCTCGCCCTCCCAATATTGATCTTTCTTGCCCTTCTCATCCGCCTACCCCATATTCTCCGCCCCCTGTGCCTTCTCCTATTCCCCCCCCTCCTCGTCTGTTCTGTAAACTCCAGGATCGCATGTCCCCCGTATCCTCCTTCTCCTTCTCCTCGTGCTGCCCCTCCTCTTCTGCTCCTGCTCCTGTTGATCCTCCTCCTCTCCTCCTTGTCGTGCTGCCTCCTCCTCCTCCTTTTCCTCCTCCTACTCCTCTCTGCATGAGCCAGGTCAGTGCAGAATTATCGCCTTGGCGTATTGTCACAAGGACGACTCACAAGAAGTACAGGCCTGCAAACCCAAAAATATTGGGATTGTCATCCACTGACCCGTGCCTCCTGCACCTCCTGCTGCGGCTGCTCCTCCTTCTCCTCCCAAGCATCATCATCGTCATCATCATCATCGGCATCAGCATCAGCATTTACATCGGCATCATCATCATCACCATCATCAGCATCATCATCAGCATCAGCATCAGCATCAGCATCAGCATCAGCATCATCATCACCATCACCATCCTCATCATCCTCATCCTCATCCTCATCCTCATCCTCATCATCATCCTCATCCTCATCCTCATCCTCATCCTCATCCTCATCCTCATCCTCATCCTCATCCTCATCCTCATCCTCATCCTCATCCTCATCCTCATCCTCATCCTCATCCTCATCATCATCATCATCATCATCATCATCATCATCATCACCATCACCATCACTACCCCCGTTCCTCCTCGATCCACCTCATCCATATTCTCCCTTTCCTCAACACTCCTACTCCTCATCCTCCTCCAGGGAAACCACTGGGAACCGATACCGCTACTCCCCAGACCTCTCCCGGGGTGCAGTCTGCCCACGATTTCGATGCGAATCCAGCGGTGGAGACGAGGGCCTCCCAAGAAGCCGAAAAACGAGCAAACTGTCGACAGGTAGCGGTATCAGTACCTTTTCCTCCTCTGATCAACCCGGTCATCTCCATGCTCATCCACGAGCGCCTGACTTCACCAGCCGCGCGCGCGCGCCCCCCCGCCACGACGCCAGGGGCGGGCATTTCGCGGCACACAAGGACCCCACGCCGACGAGGCCCAGGGTGTGCCCCCAAGAATGCCACCGCAGTTTTTCTTGTGCTACCAGGCGGCGAGCGAGGAGGGGAAGTGAGGAGGAGGCCTTCTCAGAAGGCGGCGGGGCTTTTCAGAAGACCGGAGGCTTCTGAACAGTTTTCTGTGTCTGGGGGCAGACTTAGAAAGCTGCTCAGGCCCGAGGCCTTCAGAGCCTTCTGAGAAAGATCGCCCCTTCTCTCTTCCCTGACAGGCTCGCCGCTGGCCGGCCCACGGACTCGTGCGAGCTGGCTACAGCTGGCTGCCCTCAGACCTCAACCTGCCCAAACACGTTCATGCATCGCTGGCCCTGAACTCATCTGCCATGCTCAGATTCGCTCACGCCCAGATCCACTCAAAACTTGCCAGTGATACCCAAACTCACTCACAACCAGACGCGATCATGTTCGGAACCACTCATATTAAGACCCCTCGTGCTCATAGCCAGGCGACTCATACTCAGATTCGCGCGTGCGCATGTACAGACGTAGCCAACTCCACTCACATTCGGACCCACGCGCAGTCAGACCCGCTCATGCTTAGTCCCCCATGCTCAATGGGTCATTGTCAAACTCATTCTCGCTCAGACCCACTCGTGCGCATTCCCTCCGGCTCAGAAAGACATAACATTTCAGACTGACTGTTCAAGCCAAAACCCACCATTCCCCTGGCTAAACCAAGGTCAAAACCTCACTCGAAATCATACACACTCACACCGGCTCGACTCAGACTGAGAAAAGCCCAATAATCACACGCACGCATCGTCAGGGCCAACCGTGCTCAGACCCACACAAATTCAATATCACTTGCAATGTGTCCAGATCGTGCTCCGACTCGCATCAAGGTGAGAGCCGAAAACACGTTTGTGCATGTTTGCCCGTCGAACTCTGAGAAAAGATTGTGCCGAAATCTGGGTCGAAATGGCCGATCAAACTTCTGGGCCTTCCCCACGTGCAGCACGCCGTTCATATTCTCGACCCTGCCGGGGCGACCCCGCTTCGCTACCGGGCAGCCGCTGACGGTTCTGTTTTCCAGGGGAGAAAGATAGAAGGGAGAGGGATCACACATGTATAGAAAGACAGAGATGCTATACAAATGTATGTGTGACTCGACCTATATATATATAGATGGAAATATATATATCGCGTGGACCACTCTTCTGGTGAGAAGGACGTCTAGGGGGATGGGTGCAGTCCTCGCTTTGCGCTTGGCGTCGGGACGGGCCTGCGATCTCTAATTACCTGCGCCACCGCCATGCTATGATCTATGTACATAATGCCCACTGTAAATCTAAACGTACATATCTATATACACATACATATCTACATATATATATATGTATGTATGTACACATGTATGTGTACAGAGATCGAAGTGAAACAAATATCCATCTCGGAGAGATTTGCTTTTTCGTGTCGTGCTGGACAGGAGCTGCGCACGCGGGCGCGAGGACCACCCGCGGTCGTCGCTAGGAGAAATCTGAGGAAACAACTCTGCTCGTCTGGTTGGGGGTCGGTACCCCGCGGGTGTCCCGTGGTTGTCTCGTGGTTGCCTTACGTTTGTCCCGTGGTTGTTCCGGTGGCTGGCCCGATGGTTGAGTTGACCCGACGGGTGTCCTGCGGACAGTTGACTGTTCCGATGATTATTCTGGTCGGGAGTCCCGGTGGTTGTCCCGATGGTTGTCCTGATGGTTGTTCCGATTGTCGTCCCGATGGTTGTCCCGATGGTTGTCCGGATGGTTGTCCCGATGGTTGTCCCGATGAATGTCCCGGTTGTTTGCCCGTTCGTTGTTACGTGCGTCGTCCTGATGGTTGCCCCGATGGTTGCCCGATCTCTGTCACGATAGTTGGCACGAACGTCGTCACAATGCTTGTGCCGATGGTTGTCGTGATGGCTGTCCCGACTGATTTCGCACAAGAGAAAAATGCCTTTGGATCCTCGAGAATTTGGCAGATTATGCGCTGATTGTCCCGATGGCTGTTCCGATGGGTAGAAACTGAGAACGGACAATAGATAATGAGGCCGGTAGAGAAACCGATAGTGAGGCTGAAAGCGGGACCGATATATTGTGATAGTGGTAGATCGATAGATGGGAAGCGCAATCCATACACGAACGGTGGGGTCGATACATATCCATAGATCGTAAGATCGAGGGATACATGAATCGGCATAACGACACATATGTGGATGGTGAGGTCGACGAAGGGGGAATGGTGAGGCCAATACGTGGTGAGACCGATAGAGATTACACGATGGATGGATGGATACGGTTGTCCAGATGGCTGTCTCGCCATCGGTTCAAACCCCCAACTTCCTTATCGGCCCTTGGCCGATCTCATAGGTAAGGATGTATCAACCGTCTTATCGACCTTATTACCTGTCGGCGTCACTGCTGACTTATCAATAGCATTACCTGTATGGTCGACCGCAATATCTATCAGTTTCACACGTCACACGGTATCCACATTTCGCACAATCAACTGTCAAACACTAGGACGGCATCAGAATGTGATCACACCATCGATACATCATCCACATATCGGTCTTGCGATCTCCCCGTCTCCCCACCCATCTACTGATCTCACAAGCAATTCTCTTCCTGCGCGAAGACCGCCCGATCCGCTGCCCCTCAAGGGAGGCTATCCCCAACGCAACTCCACCGAACAATGACGACCGCCAGGCACTGAACGTAAAATGCTGCAATGGCCCTGGACTCGGGGGAGCAGCAGACAAGCCAGCAAATACGAGGCTGCGCGCCAAGTCCAACCCAATTTTGCTCGAAGGAAGCAGCCGCACTGGAGGTGGAGGGCGAGGGGAAGGAGGAGGAGGGAAGGAAGATGAGAGCGAGGGAAGGAAACACACGAAATGCTGCAATGCATCCGCCCTCGGCCTTCGACGTCCAGTCGTGGCTCATGTAACCGATGGCATATTCTGAATAGGCCATGGGTTACATGAATCAAACAGAAAATCTACGTCAAAAGAATCAACGCATCAACATCTGGAACCAAGAATGCCATGCTGCCGTAACCGTGCACAGCAAGGAAGGAGGCGGAAGGACGGACAATAACGAAGTATGAGGAAGAAAAAACAAGATCCACAAATTTTCCAATCTGAGAGACGCAGAGACGCGACCTCTATACGTCCGGAACCGCATCCTTGGCAGGCATGGCGAACACCGGAGAATAACTACTAGAACAAACATGAATCGATACAAACGGCATCCGGGAGAGGAGAGGAGGCGGGGAGGCAGACCCACAAAGTCGAGCACCCAGGCACCAACACGCGCCAAGCACCATCCAGCCAACGGCTGCTCCCGACAGATCGAGCGCTCCGCGGTCCAAATTTGCAGCGACGAGCGGAAGAATTCGGGGGGGAAACGAAGACGAGACAGGCAAAGGGAGCAGGCAGCTGGCCAACACCAGAAGGGCCAGCCGGCGTTCTGCCACCGGGAAGAGAAGGCGGGAGGACACAGACAAGGAGGGAAGAGCGCGAATCGCCCGCGCTGGGTGCGGAAAGCACTGGGGCAGCAGCCTGCTGTAAGCAGGCACCGAAGAAATCGTCTGCGCAGCACTCCGAACTGTCGCGATCTCACAAACAGTGTATCTAAGTGTTCCGAACACACTGTAGAAGTATCAATCGGCTTACCCGTACACAGACAGCATCGGGACATCCTTCGGGGCAGCCATCGGGCGACCCTCGGGCCAACAAGCGGGGCAACCATCGGAACCAACATCGGGACAACCATCGCGACAACCATCGCGACAACCATCGGGGCAACCATCGTGATAAACATCGGGACAACCATGGTGACAACCGTCGGGACAACCAGCAGGCCATTGATTGGGACAACCATCGGGACCATCAACGGGACAACCATCGGGACGACGCTCGTGCGAACGATCATGATGACGATCGGGTCAGACAATCGGGACAGCCATCGATTGGGACAACCATCGGGACCATCAGCGGGACAACCATCGGGACGACGCTCTCGCGAACGATCATGATAACGATCGGGTCAAACAATCGGGACAACCATCTGGAGAAGAAACGGGACAACCATCGGGGCACCCATCGGGGCAATCATTTCTGGAATACTGCGTATATATGTATAAATATAGGTCCCAGCACGCACCATGATCCCCCCTTTTCCCTTGGAAAATGCCAAGAGAAAAGGGGGCGGAAGGCGCGCGCTGCAACCGTAAACGAAGAAGTGTGGCAGATAGGTTGGTTGTGTGATGGAGAAGACAGGTGTGGAGTATCGGGTGGAGTGTTGGGGACGGAGGGTGTGGAAGACCAGATGGTGTGTAGGAGACGGAGGGAGTGGAGTACAAGGTTATGTTCAAGTTCAGCTTGGGGAGGGAGCCTGTTGAGTATCGGGTGGTGTGTTGGAGGCCGAGGGTGTTGAGTACTGGATGGTGTGTTGGAGACGGAGGGAGTTGAGAAAAACGTGATTTTCAAGTTCAGCTTGGGGAAGGAGCCTGTTGAGTATCGGGTGATGTGTAGGAAACGGCGGGTGTTGAGTAGAAGGTCGATTTCAAGTTCAGCTCGAGGAAGGAGCCTTTGGAGTATCGGGTGGTGTGTAGGAGACGGACGGTGTTGAGTAGAAGGGTATGTTCAAGTTCAATTTGGGGAGGGAACCTGTTGAGTATCGGGTGATGTGTTGGAGACGGATGGTGTTGAGTACTGGATGGTGTATTGGGGACGGAAGGAGTTGAGTAGAAGGTTGTTGTCAAGTTCAAAATGAGTTGAGAAAGTCTTCCAAAAAAGGAGCCTCAAAATGAAGTCCGAAAATCGTGGGAATCATGTACGAATTCATATATAATCTGGAGAAAAGGGGGGTTCTTGGTGCGTGCGGAGGGCTACATATATCTGTGCGTGTGCAAATCCTATCGTGGTAATTTGGGCAACAATGAACTGCAACCGGGGCGATGCATTTTGGTTCGCCTTGTATCCCGGAACTCGCGCCGCCAACACGTGACGAAACGACCTCCCAAGCGTTTCACCTAAAAGTTGCACGTCGGTCTCATAGACATGTGTGTCTATACACATAGATGCCAGCTTTAAGAAAAGGGGGAGAGAGAGAGAGAGAGAGAGACAGAGAGAGAGAGAGAGACAGAGAGAGAGATAACGACAAAAGAGAAATAGGGATATATTGATACAGGTAGTGAAAGCCAGTCCTGTAGATGATCAGAAAGAACAGAGGAAGTGTACGAGAGCGAGAAAGAGGATGACTGGACTTCAAATGAGAAAGAGAGAAAGAGAGAGAGTGTCATGAGTGTCATTATCGCCACAGTCGCAGTGGCAGGCGGGACTAGCGAGAGCCAGGGATTAACAGACGCCCCTCCGCGCGTCGGACCCGACTGAGGGCGGCCTCCAAAGCAGGGGCCGAAGGGCCCTTGTGGCCTGGGAGTAACCCTCGGCGAATTCGAAGGAGATTCTCGTGCCCTTTCTTAGAGCACAGGGAAGATTCGCTGAGAAATTGCCTCGGGTCGACTGCGGCCGATCGGCCACACCGAGAGCAGAAGTACAGCGAATGCTCGGGCCAAAAATGCAAACAGTGACTGGAGTGCACAGAACCCCCCCACACACACCGTCACCGCCCGCCTCGCCCGAGATATCCCATGGCCAAACTCCTGCTCAGGGATGCCATCGTCCACGGCAGGGCAGGGTTGGGCGCGAGCCTCGAAAACGCTCGCCGAGGGGAAAATCGACGAGCAGAGTGAGCAAATCCACTTCAAACCCGTTTTAATTAGACAGTGCGAGCTGCCTCTGAGGGCAGCCTGAAGTTTAGTGACAGTGGAACGGCCCAGCCTGGGCCTGTCCCCGGTCCACGGGGCCACGCGGATGGAATCCGCCAACGCGTGGGCAGCCCGCTGGCGGATGAGAAAACACGCGGCGTCCCATCTGTCGGTGTCGGGCACGCGCTGACCACGAGTAGCAGGGCCCCAAGACTCCTGAGCAGCCTGGCCCGCCAAC